CTTTGGATAGCATAGGGGGTAAAGGTTGAGGGGATAGCAACGAAGTCCTGGCTGGCTTGAGTAAAGACACGTGAAAGACAGGGTGGATGTGGTTGTGTTGTGGTAGGAGTAATTTGTAAGCAACCTTTCCAACTCGTTACACCACTTGATAAGGTCCATAATAGTGTGGACTTAATTTTTCATTTGGTTTTCGTGCTAAGGATTTAAATCTATATGGTTGTATCCTTAAGAAAACCCAATCACCTTCATTATAAACCACAACCCTCCTGTGTTTGTTGGTTTGAAGCTTATTTTTCTCTTGGGCTTTGCGCAAATTCTCTTTCAACTCTTTCAAAATCTCATCCCTTGCTGCCTGCATCTGATTAACACTTTCTACCTTGGATGGGATTGCTGTGCCTTTCAAAATGACAGGAGGATCACATCCATAAAAAGCCTTGAATGGTGTCATCTGGGAAGAGAGGCGCTGTAGTTGGTGTTGAACCAAAATTCAGCCCAAGGGAGCCTAGTGGGCCACTGTTTTGGTTGAGTGCATGTCATGCACCTTAAATAGGTCTCCAGACAGCTATTCACAACTTCCGTTTGGCTTTCCGATTGCGGGTAATAAGCCTTGCTGTACTCTAGTTTAGTGCCTGCTTGTTTGAAAATCTCCTTCCTGAATTGGCTCAGAAAAATTCTCTGTCTGAAACAATGGATGAAGGAAATCCATGCAATCTGACAACTTCCTTTACAAAAAGCTGAGCCACCTCCATTGCTGAATAAGGATGAGATAAAGCAAAAAAATGAGCGTACTTCGTGAAAATGTCCACCACCACACAAATGGTGTCTTTTCTCCAATAAAATCCATGGAGATGTCTGACCAGACTTGTGTTGGAATTTGTGGGGGTTGTAGGAACCTAGCAGGGGCCAAGGTCTCTATTTTATTTCCCTGACAAACTTCACATTGCATAACAAAAGATTTTATGTCTTTCCTCATGCCTTCCCAGTATAAAACACCCGCGACTCATGTAGGAGTACGAAAATAGCACTATGTCCTCCTATAGGTGTTTCATGCAGCTCCTTAATAATTGCAGGAATTTTGGAAGAATTACTATTTACCTTGGTACAACATTGTAAGTATTATAGCCGTGGTACAATTTCCCTCTTTGTTTGAGTTGTACCCTTTTGTAACAGATAAAACTTGAAGCATTCATCCATTTTATCCGCCCTTTATGGTTTTTACATCCACGTGGTCCACGAAGGAATGTGTGCTGCTCCAAAATTCCAATTCGTGTTGAGTATAATTAATTTGAAAACAACTAGAAAGGTAGGAAATAATAAAAAAATTCATAACATTCCTCCAGATCAGAGTTGCCATTTGCATGAGTTTTGTCAAAGTACCCATTTTATCTTCTTGATATTGAGCTGTTTCATCAACTATGGTTAACAAGGTCTTTTGATGTCTTGTGGTTAACTCTCAACTGGTTTTCTTCTTTACTATCATTCTCTTGTTTTCACAAGGGTACTTGTGTTGAAGAACAATATTTTTCACAAATACTTAGGTCCTTATCTTGTACAGGACACTTTAGACCTCAACAACCTGGTTCGGGGTCATTTTTTTTACTTTTAATTACTTTATAAAGTCTATTTTGGATAGTTCTAAGACTTAAATAGGAATCAGTATCATTGTTTGTTTCACATTCTAAAGTGTTAAGTTGATGATGTTTGTGAAATGAAAATGGATAATGTCTCCATGTGTCTTAATGTTTTATTGTCTGATGTTGGAGTTATTAAATAAATTTTATCATGAACTTTTGTTTTTCAGTATACACCGGCTATAGACATATGGAGCATTGGCTGCATATTTTCAGAACTTTTGACCGGAAAACCTCTTTTCCCTGGGAAAAATGTTGTTCATCAACTAGATCTTATGACCGATCTTCTTGGAACTCCGTCTCCTGAAGCCATTGCTAGGGTCTGTTGTTTAATTTTCGTTTAGCATTTTTGTTATCTGTTTGCTCTATTTAGTCACTTAATGCAACCTTGGTATTGTATTAATAGGTACGAAATGAGAAAGCTCGTAGATATTTGAGCAGCATGCGTAAGAAGAAGCCAGTTCCTTTCTCACAAAAGTTTCCAAATGCAGACCCCCTGGCTCTTCGTTTGTTAGAGAGAATGTTGGCATTTGAGCCTAAGGATAGGCCTACTGCTGAAGAGGTTAGATTTTGGTGTCCATCTATCTATGGATCACTTGCTGTGTTATATCTGGTTAATAGGGTTTTTTTTTTTTGTGTATAATGTTAGGCTCTAGCGGATCCATATTTTAAAGGCTTGGCCAAGGTCGAGAGAGAACCATCTGCTCAGCCTGTTACCAAGATGGAATTTGAGTTTGAGAGACGTCGGATAACAAAGGAAGATGTCCGTGAGCTTATATACAAAGAGATTCTGGAGTACCACCCAAAGATGTTGAAGGAATTTCTAGAGGGAGCAGAACCAACAGGTTTCATGTATCCAAGGTATTGTCTAAATCTCTACCCAAATTTTGTTTTACACCTCATTAGCACTTCATGAACATAACATATTTGGATGTTGCTTTCACCTGATAATGTTGCTTAACAGTTCATAAAATTCTACCCTTGTGGGTTTTTACAATTTTCAGTTTCACTCATTGAGGATTCTATATTTTTTGCAGTATCTTGTACAGTTTAACGTAACTCCTATAGTGTTTACGAAGACTTGAGTTATGGCTAAAATAATCAATTTATTGAAGAAAGCACAAAAGAAAATGCTATGGCAACCCATATATTATGGAAACAATCTCCATTATCTTTTTCTCATAATGTTTAAGCCACGTCATTTTCGAGTTTCATGTTAATTTCATAGATATGAAAGTAACTACGATGTATGGATACTTGCTGTTCAGTATCTGCTAATTTTCTTTTTTGAAATAAATTACTTGGGATGTTCTGATGAGATGTGATTTTGACTACGAATTGGTTATTTTTGGGATTGTAAATTTGTGATTTTCTTGCATATTTTATTGAGATTGATGTATTTTGGAATTGGCTGGTTTTGTTACTCTTATTTCTCTAAGGTTAGCTTTTGGTTTCTCCCCCTGATTTCTTTACCTAAATTCTATTTCGGGTAGTGCTGTGGATCACTTCAAGAAGCAATTTGCATATCTTGAGGAGCATTACGGCAAGGGAGGAACTGTTGCTCCACCTGAGAGGCAACATGCATCTTTGCCCAGGTATTCTAATTTTCTGTAACTGTTTTGGAAATTGTTGCTTTCTTCTTTGGTCACATTATTTTATTATTTATATTGCCAAACTCCAAATAGAATACACCCTCTGTATCTGGTTTGGAATTGCCAACTCTACTGATTTGTTGCTGTCATGCAGGCCTTGTGTGTTGTATTCAGACAACAAAATACATAATACGTCGGACGTTGCAGATGATTTGTCCAAATGTTCCATCAAAGAAGTTGAGAAACAACCAGTAGATAGGAGTAATATTATCCCTATGTCCCGGCTTCCTTTACCAGCACCTCAAAATATTCAAGGTGTAATGATTGACTTTTACATGCATTTTATCCCTTTTCTGTTTCCCTTCCTATTTATTGGACACACAGATATGACTGGTATTATCTAACAAGAGTGTTGTGCCTTCATGATGCTTGTTTCATTTTAAGTCATCTTTCTTTTAACCAATAAGAGATTATATTTGCATCTTTACACACATGTACTTCTTTCGTCTACCACATAGTGGGAATTATTGTGTGAGCTGAAAGCTGAGGAATTTTTAAATTTTTTTGTTGATTTTTTTTTTTTATGTGTGTATAGTTTTAAGGGATTATAGTGTAATTTTCATCCTATGATGTTATTCTCATCCGATGTACCCATTTGTGGCTCACTGTATGTAGGTGTGGCAGCAAGGCCCGGAAAGGTTGTTGGTTCAGTGATGAGATACAATAACTGTGGGGTAGCAGTGACGGCAGAGACTGAGCAGAGGAGGATGGTCAGGAATCCATCTGTTTCAGCTCAGTTCGCAGCGTCGAATTGCTCATATCCTAGGAGAAACCCAGGCTATAAAAGTGAGAGGGGGGCAGAGGATGATGGGATCGAAGGTTCAAATGGACTGCAGCCAAAGCCTCAATACATGGCAAGAAAAGTGGCTGCTGCTCCAGGTGGACCTGGTGGTCAATGGTATTGATATTGAATTATATTGAATGTGTGGCCAACTAGTGCCTTGTATTGTGCCATGAAGCTCTGATAGATAGCTGAGGTTCATGTGGTACACCTAATGTTGATCGTCAGAACTGAAATTTCACATAGCATCAGACAAAGGGGAGAGCTAAAGGGGCTCAATTCCCAGTGTTGAAGTACCTAGAGGATGATTTCTAATTCAATCAAATGCATCGTCAATTTAAAGGGTTCGCATGGTCCAATTGATGATTTTATTGTACTCTAATGTGTTAATAACAGAGTACATGGAAGATCTGAAAAGCCATGAACTTGAAGACAGACCGGTTGCTTCATTGCAGAACTGTAGTTGTTATTATACCCCAGTTTTACTTGGGTACCATTACCAAGATAATGTATTTTATTTTTTAAACAAAGACATATAGCCAAAGTCACACTCTCTTGTCTCTTTCTCTATAGCACGTCTTTGCTGTTAGGAACTTGATTTGATGTTTAACAAAAGAAACTAGTGTTGGGCCCCTATGAAATTTTAACTCCTTAATTTACACCTATGCTTGCTGAATTCCACGTGTGCAATCTGATATTTCCCTGCAAATCTTTTCCTCGGCCAGTGGAATCATATCATATTATGGACAAAAAAGTGCGCACACTTGTATGCCGATATACAGAAAACAACTAAGTTATCCAAGAGATAAGGAAACGGTTTCTTTGCAGGCCAGGCCCTGTTTGAAGGATGGAGGGTTTCCTCTGCCATTCAGATTTAACAAGTCACACTTGTTGCTCACTAACTCATCAGTCCCATCCATTACATCTTTCTCGACCAAACTATTCGCCAAGAGGTCCCAACCCAAGACTAAGAAACAATAAAACAAGTTTTCATTTTACTCGTTTCCCAGGAGCAAGCTAAGATATTTTTGACGAATAGAAAAAAAATTCACAGTTTGACGAGTTCAAAGGCATTTTTTCTACACCTCATCAAATCAACAACAAATATTGGTGAGTAAACCGAAATACCTGTTTTGTGTATAAATATGAGAAGAGTGAGTATAAAGAGCATTACGCTGTAGAAAGAAAGTAGTATGTATAGTTGTGAGTAAATTAACGACCTCGTCAATCTGATATGTGATGTGGATGAGCAGTGGTATTTACAGCGAGTGCTCGATGCTCCGCAGGCTCGTGTGCACAACTGTTCCTCGTCTTCCAATAATCTCACCAAAACCAAAACCTTACATTCTCAACTCCCTCACCCAAAAACCCCTTTCCAACGCCATCAAATCCTTCTCTTCTTCCAAAATGGGGGACGCTCGCAGACCCTTATCCGTTCCCATCCCCACCTTGGAAAAAGCCGAACGCGCCGATCTCCTCCGCGCTCTAGAAGCTTCCCTAGGCTCCCCCTTCAGCTCCGACCCTCTCTCTCCCAACCCCAACCCTCTCATCATCGTCATCAGCGGCCCCAGCGGCGTCGGCAAAGACACCCTTATCGCGCGCCTCCGCGAGGCCCGCCGCGGCCTCCACTTTGTCGTCACCGCCACATCGCGCCCTCGCCGCCCCACCGAAGTCCACGGCAAGGACTACCTCTTCGTCTCGAAGGAGGAGTTTCTCGGGATGGTGGAGCGGGAGGAGCTGCTCGAGTATGCCCTCGTCTACGGGGACTACAAGGGCGTCCCCAAGCAGCAGATTCGAGAATGCCTTGCCAAGGGCTGCGACGTCGTTCTTAGGGTCGATATTCAGGGCGCCGCCACGCTGAGGAAGGCGCTCGGGAAGTCGGCGGTGTTTGTGTTCGTGGCGGCGGAGAGCGAGATGGCCCTGGTGGAGAGACTGGTGGACCGGAAGACGGAGACGGCGGAGTCGCTGCTGGTGAGGATCGGCACCGCGAGAGAGGAGATGAAGCATTTGAAGAATTTTGATTATGTTGTGGTGAATGCGAAGGGGAAGCTGGAGAATGCAGTGAAGTTGATGGAGTCTATTATTGATGCCGAGAAAGCTAGGGTTTCGCAACGGACTCCTCTCATATAACGGACACTCACATGGTATACAATTGAAGACTATTTTTTTTCGCAGTGGTGTATCATGGGATTTGATTTGTTAGCACTTAGATAGAGGGCTGAGGGTAAATGAACTAGAAAGAATCTCTCTGAAACATTTTCTTTTACTGATTTCATAAATTGTTCATTGTGGAAGGGATTGGATTGGTCATTGGTGTTTTTGAGGGAACGACTGTTCATTCTTTCAGAAACTGGTTTGGACTTAAACTAAAAGATGCATTAACATGTCAACATTGATTCCACTATGCAGTTTGTGTTCAGAACTGAAAAATAATACGGTATGCCTGTGCAAGTATGACAATTTTTAAGCAAAATGGTACCCAGCTGCCGGATGAAGGATGGGTTGTGTATATGAAAAACTTTAACCGTAAACTAAGTAATAGAATGTATCATATGCAATATTTATTATGTTCTAAGTTCTCAAAAGAACTCCTAGAAATATCGCTGGGAAGCAAAACATCTTAAGAGGGAACATAATTTGAAGATATGAAGTAGCTGGTTCTTCATTTAGTAGCAATACATACAATTAGTATAGAAATTCAGTGTTTTGCATGAACTAACATGAACTTGATTGATATTACCAGCTCATTAAGATGTTTAATCGAGATGGGCCCAAAGGTATTTTGAAATTTGGAAAAGAAAAAGGTTTTTGAGTGATATCTGCTCATTGTAATGCTCATGCCTCTTGAACAAGGGTTAAGTTTAGATAGTTGATACTTGTCAGACTTTGGTTAAAATTGGGTGCTTGCTATATTTCACTAAGATTGGATTGTTATAAGCCGCACACAAGTTTGTGAATGGTGGTCACTTCAAATATCAGAAACACATTTTGCACATTGAAATTTTGGAATTATGAATGCAAAGTTGAGATTCACTGTATTATAAAGATGCATTTTTACATGGTGAGTTTGTTTTTGTTGGATATGATCTATGCTCTATCTTGATTACAAGTAACAGTGTTTGCTATTTATTTATTTATTTTATTTAACAAGTCAGAAGTTTTCCGTAATTTTTTATTAAATGGATTGATATCAACTGTGTTACATCTCATATGCCGTGTGGCAGTAGTTTGCAGCTGTGTTGTAAAGGTCTTGAATTCTTAATCATCAATATTTCAAGAATTTTCTATTTCCTTTTAGATTTTTGGCTAACACAACTGACTTTAAGCTCATGTTTCTGGTACTTGTAACCAGAGGAAAACACCAATACTTTGAAATAATCTGGGCCAGTATTCATGTTGAACATTTAACAGGTGTTTCAAACTCCAAGTTTCGTGTTACAATTTTCCTGTTCAATTCTATATTTTGAACTTCTATACCAATATAAATGGGATTACAATAATAATTTGACAAGTGGGATTTTTTTTTTTAATTTAATTTATACTATTTTATTGTTGTATTTCAGTTGTAATTGTCCTGTAATTTTAAGAATCACCGTAGTATTATTATATTTTGTGTGCTTTCTAACTTGCAAGCTCCAAGCACGTATTGTTATTAATGCCTTTTTTTTTTCTGTAGAATTTATGACGGATGATAACGTGGGAATGATAGCAAAATTTTAATTTTTGAGCTCCATTTATTGCCAGTGACGAGCTTGGTGTTTCTTTCCTACAACTGGTGTGATAAAGAGAAGTGGATAATGCTGGTGTGATTCTTTCAATACTGCCATAGATGAAGTACAAATGGTTAGTAGAACTTTTAATTGCAATGCCTAATATCATTTATTTATTTTATTTTATTCAGTGACATAGCTATGTAGGAAGCAAGTTGAATGTAGTGAATGAAACAGTGAATTGCACTTACACTGATACCCTTGACACAACATGTAAACCTTCTTATGAAGAAGTGATTCAAAAAGCTTATCACATCCGGTTTTTGTGCATATACTATCTTCCACTTCGTCTCCTTTTTCTCTCATTCCTTTTATTCTTGTTTAAACCCTAATATTTTAGGTATGCGTTTTTAAAAGATGAGAATGAGTGAATTGCTCTACTTGTTCTAAATCATGCAATAAAGGTGGGAAATTAGATGGCTCCTATTTGCCTCTTTTCTGTCTATTTACAGCTGGATTTGTGCGCAATGATTGTTTAAATGATTTTTTTCTATGAATTTCTCTAAGTAAAAAGTAAACTATACACGAGTAAAGTTATGATTTTCAAGAAATTAATATTGAATAGTTTCTACGAACTATTATATGCATAAATTAATTTTAATTTGCATAAAAGCTATGTCATTTCTTCTCTTTTTATGTTCTTCTTAAAATATTTAATCAAGCATATCTCTAGCATCTCAGGTCACTTTGGTTATCACCACTTGAATTTTATATATAACTAGTGTGACTCTTCAAACATTTTCTTGGTCTATCACATTGTATGTTAAGTTTTTCTAATCCATTAGTTAAGTCATATATGATATGTCTGAAAGATCCAATCCATTTTTTTGCCTTTACTGAAATGGATTGGATGTGATGTCTCTATATTTTTTAATTTATTAACTATGGGAAGTTTGGCATTTTTGTCAAAAGTTTATAAGCCCAAAATCTCTTATCATTGTTGCCATTTTTATTACTTTTTTCTTCACAGTTTTTACATTATATTAAGAAGATTCTGCCGTGGAAGTGACGTCTAAATATTATATTAAGAGTAGTAGAAGATGAATGATGATACAATTTGTTCTCGTTTAATTTAAAATATAAGTGCAAATTAAAACTAAACTTCTAAAATTTTAAATTCCTATGTCTTATCGATTATTTAAAATTACGTGTAAAAGTTAATAAAATGACCATAAATACTAATTTTCTATTAGGCAAAGCTAAAATATCTTTTTATCATTCAGCTAGTTTAACAAATTTTGGTCAGGCTCTCTGGCAAGATAAATTAGAATCAATCAAACACCTAATACGTAAGCATAATGATTAAATTAACACATAATATGATAAAAACTAAAAAAAAGTAGTATCTTTTATATTATGATTTCAACCATTAATTAAAAAAATAATTATTAAAAAATAAAATAATTGGCGCATAGAAGAAGAGAAAGGAACAAAAAAATATCTGAATTGGCTTAAGCTTGTAGTTGTAGGATAACATAACGCAGATCTGTTATACGTGTACGCGTAAAATAAAGGCATTATATTCTCCAAGCAAAATTGTGTGGCCAGGGTTACTTTAAGAAACCAAATAATCTACAATTCATTCTTCTAAATTTTTGTGGTCCTTATTTCTTTGCTCTCCCTTTTTTCTGTTTCACTTTCTTCTATTTTCTCCCTTTTTCCTACGCTTTCTGGGACCATAAACGAAAACTAAAGAACACTTCACCAAATCCTAGAGATGTCAAAATGGGAGTTGTAACCGAGCTAATTCAGTTTATCACATGTCTAAATCAGGTTGAATTTGAAAAAAAATATAATTTTTGTATGTGATTAGTTTTTAACCCGGTTCACTTAGAACCTGGCTTACCAGATTGAACTCGTGGTGAGTCGGATTGGTTAACTAATTTAATTTAATTATTTATTATTTTGTGTTTTAATATTATTAATTAGCATTTTTTTATTATATTGTACATAGTGATAAAAAAATGTTTAAAGAGAGAAAAATATTATAGATTTATCTATTTAAGACTCTAATGTTTGTGAGACAAAAATTAACAATATTAAAAACTTATTTGTTTGTCTTTGGGTGTTGCTCCCTCCACCCCCACACATCTCTTCCTCCACCTCCCCTTTACTATTTTGCCCCTTCCTCCACCTTTCCTTTACTATTTTGCCCCTCAGTAAAATTTTATTTTTAAAATTGTTGTTTTTTAATTTTATTCATTTATAACATATTTCACTGATAACCTACGTAGTTTCTTGTATGAGTAAAATATTTTTCTACAAAGCTTGGTGATCGTGAAAAGAATTATCAAACAATCTTCTTCTTGTTCTCGGTGCAGTACGTGGTGCAGTGCGTTTATGGTGTAGTGTCCTTGTCGTGGTTCCTCTCCAGGTACGTAGTCATAATCCTTCCAATAATCCTAAACCCTAAATCCTTCCCAAACTTCCAATAATCCTTTTAATATCCAAGCCTATAATCCTTGCATGAGCCGCAAAACGTAGTAAAATAAAAACGAAACGTAAAAGGAACACTGCCTATGGACGGATGACATCCTTCAACGGATGTCAACATCCGTTTAAGGCAAAACGGATGTCAACATCCGTTTAAGGCAAAACGTATGTCGACATCCGTTTAAGGCAAAACGGATGTCGACATCCGTTTTGCCTTCAACGGATGTTGACATCCGTTGAAGGATGTCATCCGTCCAGAGGCAGTGTTCCTTTTACGTTTCGTTTTTATTTTATTTGTTTATTTTATTTACAGTAATTTATATTTAAATTTATAATTTTAAATGTTATATATGGTTAGTTTTTAAACGTAATAATTTTGTTAAAATATGAATTTGTTAAAATATGAATTTGTTATAGGTGGAGAAGAAGCTTAACAGAAGAGAGAAAGGTAAACGAAAATGGAAGAGAGGAAGAGGTGCAGAGGGAAGTAAATCAGAAGTTTTAAATAAATTAAAATATTAAAATAATAAAAATAAAAAATTTTAACTTTTGAGGATATAATTGTCATTTTAAAAGGATATAATTGGCATTTTAGAAAATTGGGGAGGTGGAGGAAGAGACGTGTGGGGGTGGAGGGAGTAACACCCTTTGTCTTTTATATATGTTTTTGGATTACGCTTGAATTGTATGATACTTTTTTTGTTTGTTTTTGAATTGTCTTTTGAGTTTAACATCGTTTTAAAGTGATATTTGTTTAGATTTGAATTAAAAAAAATAATTTTTTTACTTAAAAAAAACTTATAATTAAATGAACCAGTGAGTCAACCCGTTTAAATCACCAACTCGAGTGGATCGAGTTAGGTTCGAATTTTTTCAATTTGCTAAATTGACTCACTAAATGACCAACCTGTAGTGGACCACATCTAATCGAATCGAATCAGATTACCCGTTTTGACAGTTTTACCAAAATCTTAATTTCCTTCCTCACATCATAACTGAGTACTCTTTGTTTATGTATCTGTTTTTCCCTTTTTTTTATCAAATAATAAACAAGATATATTATCCTTTATGATTATAAACAACTCTTGTCACTGTTTTTTTTACACATGCTAATCCCAATTAAGTAGTGATACAGTAACACATTTTTATATTTATTTGACATAAAAATAATAAAAAAATATTTTTTGTATTTTTTTCAAGAAAAAAAGTAAAAAAAAATATGGAATAAATGTAAAAAATTTATGTGTCAAATTATATTTCTTGTTATTCAAGTAATTCTAGGCTTAAATTCTACTGTATTGGATGAAAATTGTGGAACCAAATTTATACATTCTGATATTCTGTTATGGTTTAAGTTTAGCTCTAATTTTATTTCCAAAGACAACTCATAATATAGATGAATGTCTGACATTATGTGATCAGAACAAAATTATATAGCAAACAATACACAGTTAATGGTTATGATTAGAGATTCCTAGTTGATTAAAGATAAAGTTAAATAATGATATATAAATAAGATGCAAATATCATTTTGCAAACTAGTTTTGTGATATTAAATTATACACTGATTCATATAGTAAGATGGTTTCAGAAACATATAGAAAAATTCTACCTATGAAGAATGCTTGAGGTTGAATCTTAACAAATATTTGGATTTTGTTTATTGTAGAAATGTGTAGCACGCATGAGCAACGTAACTAACCATAAGCTACGGCCTTATGAAGTAACTCGTTTTGAATGAAAAATTGTGCGTCTGCTAATGGTTTATCCGTGCACTCCAACAACAAACCACACAGACACTTCTCCCCTGTCTTATAGCTTTTATTTAGAAAAACTAATGATAAACAAACTCAATTTTCTGTCTATTTGTTCTTCCTTTACCTTCACATAGGCCAGCCCAGTTTATTTATTATAAGTTTGGATAGGAAAAAAATCAGTTTTTTTTTTTAAAATATGGATTAAATTCAACCTAGTTTATCTAACCAGTGAGTTAAATAGATTTTAATCGGTAAAATAAATTGATTCATAATCTACCAACAACAATATTTTATTATTTATTCATAATTTTTGTTTATATTTTTAAAATTAAAATATTATTCAATAATATTTAACTAATTTTTTAATTTATTTGTTTGTATAATTATATAGTTGATATTTTATTTTTTAATTTATTATTTTTACAATAATATTTTATCAAAACTGGTGAACATTTTAAATAAATTAATTTGCTTAACTCATCAATATGTAATGAATGAAAACAGATTATAATTTTTTATTTATTTCTGATTTACTAAAAATATAAATAGAGTTACTCATTTTTAATTTAATTCATGTGAAACAAGCTTATGACACCACTTCTCTAATGCTTTTGCAATTCTTTCTCGTTTACGTGATTTTGCACACCATTCAATTCATATATATATATATATATATATATATTAACGTAAACTATGAGGAATACATTTTCTATTTGCTGTATTGTTAATAAAAATCACTTCTTGCTTTACATTTTGGTTTTGTTTTGTTGAGTAAAGAACGATGGGAAATGTATTCTTTTTTTTTTTCTTTATGTTGTTTTTCAGAAGGATAATATTGAGTTATATAAGCTTAATGTAGGAATTGAATCGTGTACATATGAGCTTAAGTAACCCACTTAATTTGTGTTTAAAAATTAGACTATAGGGTTTTTGTATGAAAGAAAAATTCGTGCAAGTAGAGTGGAATTAAGTACACCAAAATTAATGTCTAATTGTAATTATTTATTAATGTTAACCACAAGTTGAACATAAAAACTAATGATAAATTAAAATAACAACAACATC